AGTTCACCTTTTTCGGACTCCTTCACATGGTCCCATTGGGCTGTATAGTGTACAAAGGAACGTGATTTCTGTGTCTGGGAGAAACAAAAAAGTTTGTGTACAGCTGTGGCCAGCAGCCTGTAGATATCAATGGCAAGCTGACAGACACCGCCTATCTCAGCGTTTACATTTGTACAAGGCACTCCCTATACTTTGCTGTAATGCTAAATAAAAGAGGACACTCCCTCCACTTGCTGAAATACTTAATAAAAATGAAAACACAAACAAAGCACCTTTAAAAAAGAAAAATATTACACTCACATTTCCTGTGTCTACTGGGGTGCAGGGGGCTGATATCATCCTCTGACAAAATCCTAGGAAGTGGTGAGTACTTCAAATCTCTCGAGAAGACAACACAGCACAGTGCTGTGATTTTCTCAGCAAAAACTTGGACTACTCAACATCCTCCAAATCTTGCAACAAGGAAGATAATGTCATCTAGAGCTGTGAGCAGAAGCCAATGGAAAGGTGAGTATAGTATCTAAACTTTTTACCCTTACCAGTGTTTTTTAAACTTTTATCCAGCATTTCAGCAATGAAAGGGGGATGGGGGGACGCATAGTTAAACAGGTGCAAGGTCCACTTTAAGGTGACTGTGTACTTTGTCCATGCATGGGGCAAACCAATAGGTTCACTTTAAAGCAGACCACCTGAACAGCACATAATTAACTTCCTTACTGCTTCACTCAAACACCGGGATTGAAAGGAATGCCCTTTGTATACCGAGTCAGGGGAATCAAATCTTACACAGGGCTATTGACTCCCAATGTGACAGTGCTGATTGTCCCAGTGCTGCCACATGCTTCTCCATACCTAAAATCGCAAGGTATTTATTTGGCTACAAACAATGAATATGCTGTGATGAAGGACTATGGGCAAAGCACAGGTTTGCTTTAAAGGATGTTGAAGAAACATGTGAAATCACTCAGTAAAGGCTACTTAGATCAAATGCCTAGCCTATCGGACACTGTCTGTTAAAGTGTATATAAACCCGAATGATGAACTTCTCTTATTTGTTTTCTTTTGGTCTTTTAAATGTTATATCGCTTTAATAAGTGCAAAAAAATACCTATTTTGCCAGAAATAATGTGAGCCAATGACCTGACTGTGCACAGGGAGGGGTTATGGAGATGTAGAAGTAGGCAGAGATAAGGATTTCAGAGCTGAAAAGACAGCATGTTGTCATGTCAAAGGGGAAAGTAGGAACATATTAAATATCTGGCACATCAACAGCTATTTTACCGAAAATGTGCATGTATAGCAGAGATGTGCAAAATATGTTTGTTTGTTTTGCCATGACATACACTAAGTGTAGTGTAAGGAAACCAGCTTATTAATGTACTATCAATTACTTCTGTCAATTAGTAACAAGGAAAGGTGGGGCTGGCCGTGATTTGCCGACTGTGGGAGTGACCAGCGCACATTCCCAAGTGCTGAGAGAAGAGCCTGCATCATGGTGCACCACAGTACGACACCTAACAATATTGCCACCCTTTCTCAGGAAGTGGCCCAGAAGCATTTGTACAAGTAGGATCACCAGGAATCAATAAATAAATGCTAAAGAAATAGGACTTCAGAGAAATGGTGCTTCAGAGTTTTCACAATCATATGTGCATTTTTTTATATGACTTTGCATATACTATAAAAGTTAGGAAGACTTAGACCTTAATCTGTATTTTTAATGCAATGCACTGTAACTTTGATTCTGTAACCTCTCATATTTGCTGAAAGGTTACAGAATCAAAATTACAGTGACACAGAGACAACAATAAGGCTATAATGAGCAGAATGGAGATTACCTGGCCTGTGTGCATTTTTAGTCTCAGGAACTGGAGCACAGCTATACTTGCAAGAACCCCAAGAAGTTCATCTCTGTCCACCAGGAGGTCTAGCCAATAATATGTTAGAGCACAGAAGCCACTTGGAACAGAGACTTTCAAGAGGGCAATTTAGCAGGGACACAGACTTAACATAATGGAAAACCTTATTCATGTTTGGAGAATAACTCCCTGAGGGTATGTCACTTGATGTCTATGACAAGTTTACCTTTCTCTGATTGTTACCTGAACTGCAGAATCTGGGGATTTGCATTTCCCTAGACCTCAAAGAATTAGTACTGCATCTGAACTGATGAAGTGAGTCTCTCTTTTGAAAGCTTGCCCTTATAAATCAGCTGCAAATAAAGAAACATGTACAGTTCTCAAATAATTCAAATTGCCCAAAACCTTGCAGAACCAATAAGTTTTGGGGCAAGTTGTCCTTTACACACTTTTTTTTTTTTTTAGAGAGATCCTATGTACATTGGTAAATACACTATAACAGCACTAGCTAAAACACTTTTTGAGGCATATTTATAAAAAAGTGACTCTTACTATCACCAAACATTTACTATATTTGAATTTTGCAGGTGTGTGTGTTTAAAAGACAGCGGTTGATTTATCACCACAGTGTGGTGAAAGCCACATTTGCTGATTTATAAATGTGCCACGCAGTGTAGCTGGAAGAAGGACTAAGCGAACCCAGTGCGTGTGTACCTTGCACGGGCAGAACGTAAAAGGCTTTGCAACCATACATTTACATAGGATCACACATATCCCATCATACACATATATTATTATTAGAATAGGAGATATTTGAGCTGGTGCAGTCAACTACCACCATGTTGTCATATTCATATTTAAAAACATGAACTTAATCGAAACAAACAAAAATATTGCATACAGTACACAAAAAGGAGCAGAATGGAAACCTCAATGTAATTATATTTATTGCTAATGCCTTAAGACAGATGACAAGCTGCACACTCACCTTTACAAGCAGCGATAAAGCAGCAAGGAAGGCTTAAGCCAGCAGAAAGTAAAAACGGCAAGAAAGATGACAATAGAACATCAATAACATAACCTACAAAGTCCAAATGTTTTCATTTACAGCCTTAAAGGGTCACACAAACCTCAATTTTAGTCTGAAATTCCAATTTCAGGATAAATCCATATTTATACTAGATGAAGAGTCTGCACCGGGGTCATCTCAACAACATATGAAGTCTATCAAGGAGTGTGGGGCCAAAATGTTATGTTTCTAACCTATAGATTTGCTGTGAGCCTTTAACACCAGTAGAAGTATGTATATTACCATCCATTGGTGTCAAAAAGGAGCCCATTTATAAACTCTCCACACAACATCTTCGGTAATATTCCACATTCTGTTGGTAGTTTATATTTTATCAATAAAATATAGAGTGCAATGTAGAGCCTGCAATGTCCTGTGGTGTGTTCTTGGTGTAGAGAACACACACAGGTCATGTGACAGGTTGTGCTAGAGGAGATTATATTGAGAAAGCAGAGTTATGTCCCCAAAAAGCTGGTTCATAGATAGGCCTCAAACATCACCATTATTATTAAGGATGATGGATTACAATCTCAATACAAATTAGTAAACTAAACAAGAGCTTGTAGTCCATCACCAAAGTGAGTTTGAAGCGGTGGCTACTATACAACACACACAGGGACCATGGGGAACAAAAGTAGCCTCCCTCCAGAAGGAAGGACAGTGTCAGCACCAATTCAGAGATGATTTGAGGATCTACAGCCGAGTGATACACAAATAAGATACATTTTTTTTAGTAGTTAAGGTACGTGAATGCATTTTTAAGATTTAACTCCTGAGTTCAGTGTCATTTTAAAGGATTATTTAACAATGTAACACAAAGAGGAGAGTTGTCATCAAAAGTACAGCTATTGATAAACAATTCAATGTAATTTAATTTAATTTACCGAATTTTGAAAAAAGAAACAAACTCTAACTGGTTTCCATGGGCTCTTTGTTTTATTAAATAAGCCTCATGGTGAATGGGACACTGCAAAATACAACACAGAGACATGAAGAGTAGCACACAGAAAGCAGTGGACATACGAGAAATCTTACACATCTCAAATGGATTTTAAGAGTTAACTAGTATAAAATAAGCTGCAAAGGAGGAGGGTTAGAAGATGGTTAGCAAAGATTTGATGTACTGAATAAGCCACACTCCTTTTTTTGTATATATTATGCTTGCTAATATGACATCACTACGGCTGTGGGAGGATTTAGGTGCCACTATTTGTGCTTGTTTGTATTAATAGCATCATCAATCGTAAGCAAACATCCTGACATCTGTCAAATGCTGACAAATCCAAGTGACAAGACAGCACTTTCTTGCTGTAGCACTCTGCCTGTCACTCCCCCGCTGCTGAATCTACATATCCTGTCACAGTAACACACAGGAAGGAAAATTCCTAAACTAAGACCAGATGAGGACTTAAAGCATACCTATGTTCAAGAACAAAGACAACAAAGATTAAATATATTGTAGCTTTCCAGTCCTTAGATGAGGTGGATGCATTTCATTTTTTAGGCTTTTCCCCCTTTATTTTTTGTGTGTAATTCTGCAAATAACACACATCCTGTTTCTGGGTGGGTACGCTCACTCCTCTACTGTATCTATGTAAGCAGCCATGATCGTCACACTCCAAACATGTCTGCCTTTGTTCATCTCCATTACATGGTACTTGATGGGATTGGTAGTTTACAAGAGAGATTAGATTAATGTTGCAGTTTTTTAGCTCACAGAATTTACAAAGATACTGCGTTTCTGACAAGATCACAAGTATTTTCTGTAATTGCCGAAAAATATTATTAGCCTGAAAAAAAGAAAACAAATGCAACCACCACATCGAAGGACTGGTAAACTGCAATAGAATACATTTTTGTTTTGAATTTAGATATGCCTTAAGCTTTACTTTTCATGATTAAGCAGAATTTTCACCACTAAATTCACATTTGTGCTTACCTTTCTCTACCCTCCCCCTTTCCAGTTTTGGTTATTACTAATAACAGGTACACTTTACTGATTTCTAGTCTAAGATACATTTTATGAAGCTATGTCACAACTAAAACACCATTATAGAGCTGATAGTACTTACCTTGCTCTTTCTTATAGTCTGTTTCTGACATAGTAACTGGTAGAAGAAGTTCACCTGCTGGCGGCTGAATTCCAACAGCAAATTGGTCCTCTTTAGTGCTAAAATAAATAGAAAATTTGGATACATAATTAATACAAAGTGCATTCATTTTCTACAATTCAGCCCCACCTATGGAGCATCTGTCAACATACTTCAATCCATCAGCAGCCTCACAGGGACTCACAACAGATAAAAAGGCCTTGCTGGCTATGGAAACTATGACTGCCACCATTGTTGGGCAAAGGGCTTCCAATTTTTCAAGGTTCTCTTAAAACACAACTCCCATTATCAGGCAGGTAGAGTGAAGGCACACACTCCCAATTACCACCAAGTTTTAAAAGGGCATTAAAGTAGATATCAACATAATACCCAGAGAGGCAGCTAAGGATCTACTATATCGATTGCTATTGCCCTCATGTATTTAGCTCACCTGAAGGGGAGTTTTTTTTCCACCAAAATTGGACTTACTAGTTCTTTATAACACCCAATCAATGGGAGGATATTTGGAGGGCTGAATCACTATTTTGCCCACTGTATCTCTTAGGTACTGAAGCAGCAACATCCTGGCACTGATTTTCTACAGTCCAACTCCACTCCCACAATACAATCCTTGCTCAAATATCATTGTAGCAAAATAAAGGGAGGAAAAAAAAAATCAATGCAATGGCCACTAAAGTAGAGCCAAGATGGGTGCAAACAAAAAAGCCCACATCAGTGTGGTTCTATGTCACTTTTGCAGAAAATAGAGAATTTGTAGACCGCAAACCCTATATATCTTTTTTTACCCTTTAATTTTATACATGATAGTCACTGTGCCTCATGGCTTTGGCTGACCCATCTTTTTATTTGGACCTTTGAAAACCCTTATGAATACCATCAAAGCTGCATAATAGTAGTTTTATTTAAAAAAATATATGAAAACTGCAGCTTTCTAACACCAGCAATGCAGATAAACCTTATAAATCAAGAATCAGCATAACAAAATAACACAAAATAGATCAATAAAAAGCCAATAAACAATACCACACAGAAGCAAGCAGCTAACATCCCAGATCCCCATTAAATATTGATTCTGGATATTCATTCAGGTCTATTTTAATAAACAATACAATTATGTCTAATAGAAAAATCAATTGATTAATGTCCATGGTATTTAAAAAGAATATTTACCATTGGTTATGGATGGGACTAACTTTTTAAGACAACGATTTTGAAGCGAGATTAACAAAGGATGAATGATCCCAGCTTTCTTGTGCTCAAACCTGTCTAAATAATGCTTATTAGACTTGTATTCAAAAATATGTAAGCCAAAATACAGCAGAACAAAGTAAAAAAGTACTATTATTTAGGAAAGGCCTAGACAAAGCAATGTAAAACTTAGGAGACCATTGGGTCAGCAAGCTCAAGTGCTCAAGATAGTTGTAACAGCAATAAAACTAATTCCACGACTATTAGTGAAGACTTAATTTAAAACCTGCCTTTAAAATATATTTAAAAAAACCCCCAAAAACACAGGTACAAACAGATGCACGCACTCCCATTACATTGCGTCTGTACTGAGGTTCCCACTCTCATTCATGTAAAACCTGGACACAAATTAGGAAAGAAAACCAGAAGGAAGTTCAAAAAGGTACTAGTCTAAAAAGGTATCCTGTGCTATCTGGCACCAAGCCATCAGTTGCAGATCCTTTAAGTCTTGTAAATTGGGAGGTGGGGGCTCCATGGATCGGACTTGTTTTTCCAGCTCATCCCACAGATGCTTGATTGGATTGAGATCTGGAGGATTTGGAAGCCAAGTCAACACATAAAACTCGTTGAGGGGAATTTATCAAAACTGGAGCAGACAGAAACTGAAGCAGCTGTACATGGCAACCAATAGCGTCTCTCTTTAGCTGGCCATACACCTTACAATTATCTGTAGATTTTCTGTGGTCAGATGGAAAAGGTCCTCCATCTACACTTAACTGTGTGGATGGAGTAATCTCCACCTGGGCCAATCTGTTGCACTTTTTCCATCTGACCACAGAAAATCTGCAGATAATTGTAAGGTGTATGGGCACCTTTACATTTTAAAATCTTAACTGAACAAACTGAAGAGAGAAGCTGATTGGTTGCCATGCACAGCTGCTCCAGTTCTGATAAATTCCCCCCACTTAAACCATTCTTGAACCATTTTTACAGGAAGGCAGGGTGCATTATCTTGCGGAAAGAGGTCACTGCCTTCATGGAACACTGTTTCCATGAAGAGGTGTACTTGGTCAGCAACAAAGTTTAGGTAAGTGGTCCATGTCAAAGTAACATCCACATTAATGGCAGGACTCAAGGTTCTCCAGCAGAACATTGCCCAAAGCATCACACTGCCCTCACCGGGCAGTGTGATGCATTCATCCTATAGTGCATCTTGGTGCCATTGCTTTCCCAGGGAAGCAACATGCACACTGCGCCATCCACATGATGTCTAAAAAAATGTGATCAGACCAGGCCACCTTCTTCTATTGCTCCGTGGTCCAGTTCTGATGCCCATTGTAGGCGCTCTTGGTGGTGGACACAGGTCAGAATGTCCACCCTGACCGTTCTGCAGCCCATGTGCAACAAACTGTGATGCACTCTGAGTTTAGACACCTTTCTATCGGAACCACCATTAACTTTTTCTGCTATTTGAGCTACAGTAGCGCTTATATTGGATTGGACTAGATGGGCCAGCCTTCGCTCTCCACGTGCATCAATAAGCCTTGGCCGCTCAAGACCCTGTTGCTGGTTCACTGGTTTTCCTTCCCTATTCTTTGTATTTGTTGCATGCACCTACATTTTGAAGAATGTCCCTAAAGCAAATACGGGACATGGGTGAATACTAGACAATGCAAGAAGAAATTTTTCACAACTCTTTTTGGTCATTTTCAAATCTGCTTCTAAAATATTACAAAAATAGTCAGATATCAGCAAAGTGTCTCATCTGCATATATTCGAGGATGCTCAATGCACCATAAAGGTGACTGTGCTTTCTACTTAACCTCCCTGGCGGTATTCCCGAGTCTGGCTCGGGGTTCATTTTCAATACCAGGAGCGGTAACCCATTGGGGAAGTGCAGATACAAACTAGTAGACATACAGTATACCTAGTGTGATCACTACATGGTAAGTGGTATCTCTGTCCAGTCACTTAAAACAGCAGCACCTTTGATATCTTTAGTAAGCATTAAGGATTTCCAAAATCTGCCATGGCTTGTGCAAAGCAAATCAGTAATGATTTCAGTTCAGAAAGTAATCAGTAAAACCAGTATCTCTGGTCTGTGGTGAATATAAATGTTATTCATATGGGGTTCATAAACCCAAAAGTAATTAACTAAAGGGTCAGTGTTTCTGTCCCCAATAATCAGTGCATAAAGATGAATTTTACTTTAGTCAGGAAGAAAATACATTTTTAACCAACATGCAAGCCTTTTTTGGGATTCATAAATCTACTAGCATAGCAATAAACCATTGCTTACAAATCACTAGTCCCATTGCAATACATCAAATACATATTTCTAGATGAAACTTAATAAGATGGCTGAATGCCCAGAGTTTTTTTTTTAATTTTTTTTTATCTTATTCGTTATTTTTTACCCACTGCCCTTTCTTTCATTACATATACACCACAGTATGAATATTTCTTTTTTTTATTATAGATATAATTTTGATAAATGGGCTTGGTTTAAAGCAAGCCTGTGCCAAGAGAAATTCAAAGGCCGTCATGACAGACTCCTCCCGAAATTGCTAGTAGCCTGGCTATAATGCTTATCCAGTGGCTTCAACAATTTTTGAGCACCTGACCCACAGACGTAATGGAAGTTCTAATTTCACTTGTTCCAAAGTCAGTAACTATGCTATCGAAAAAAAATAATCTGCCAACTAATCGATTAAGACTAAGAAATCTGATAAATCCTAAAACTCTCAGCCCTACTTATTCAAGTCATGTTACTTCTGAAGCCACATACTATTGTATTATGGAGAAAGAATGTTCAACAAGAAGAGTTGAGGAGCTACTTCAATGTGCTGCTTCATTTAAATAATTCATACACTTCAAAAAATGTGTTGTTTTTTTTAAATCTCATTTTAATTATGCACTGCCTTGCAAACAGACCAGATACCCCTTTAAATAAAAGTAAACATTTTGTGTGTGGTTTTTTTTTTTTTTTAAATGAAGAAAAAAAAACCCAATGTCACAGCTGTATATTTCTTCTGTTCTTTGAATGCCGACTTATATGCAGGTAAGCAGCATTTACTATGCAAAACACATAGCTGCTGATTGGCATCCAAAGTCAATTGATCTGCCCATTACCACTATCTCCCAACCCCCAGAGACTCCGCTATAAAGCTATTGATCTAAGCACTGCCGATCGGTTTCCATTTTCTGATTTTGGGCAGGCCAATTAAGAAAGTGAGTAATTGTGATTACGCTGCTTCAGGATCAATTACATTTGATGCAAGACAAAGTGCTTCTACTGGAACAACGCAAAGAAAATGATTATGACGATTGATGCTTTTATTCTGTATGGTTCTTGAAGAAAGTAGAGAAAAAATGGGTTTCACAGTACTGACAAAACACTAATTATTTAAAGTGGTATACACTCATCTGAGCAGATGCGCTCCCCATTCACAAAGCAAAATTATTTTCACACATACAAAAACAATGTTTTACACAATGCAACAAAATCGTAAGTCAATAAATACACAATAACTTCTTGCCACATGATGCTGATGTTTGATGTGGAATGGATACTAAGCACTAAAAAGCAGTACAAAAAGGAGAGCTCAAAGAAAACCTGTGCTGGATGGGATATGAAGGCTACCATGAAAATGCTAGATGCCTGGCTATCTACTGCTTAGTTTTGGAGAAAGAAATCTTTAACAATCATGCAGCAAATTAAGTCAGCGCCACATTAGAACACCCATAGTGCATACTGGTTGCTGGGTAAGTATTGCACTCAACAGATCAGCATGCCATTAGGCAACTGACATTTTTAGGAGAGGTCTCAAATCCCTGCCCTCCTCTGCTCTATAAGCAGCAGGTATGAATA